GCAGAGGCTTAACCCACTGAGCCACCCAGGCGCCCCCTGATATGTGGAATTTAAGAAAGAAGGCAGAGTATCATAGGGGAAGAGAGGAAAGAATGAAACAAGATGAAACCAGAGAGGGAGACAAACCATAAGAGACTCTTAATCAGAGGAAACAAACTGAAGGTTGTTGGAGGGGAGGTGGGTGGAGGGATGGGGTAACTGAGTGTAGACATTGTGGAGGGTATGTGTTGTAACAAGCACTGGGTATTATATAAGACTGATGAATCACAGACCTGTACCCATGAAACAAATAGTAGATTGTATGGTAATTAATTTTACATTGAAAAAATCGGAAAAAAATCAATAAAGGATTCAGTTATAAAATAAATAAAAGTCATAGTAATACATAATATGGTATTATTGGTACTTATGTGGGTAAATCAGTGAAATAGAAAATAGGGCTTTCTCTACCTTTAAGGATTCATTTGATATATGATTAAAGATGACATTTCAGATCACTGGCTGATGAGTTATTCAGTAAGGAGTGTTTGGACAATTGGATGTTCAAATAGCAAAATAGAAATACCATCCGTATCTCATATCAAATAAATTCCAGATTTAGTAAAGTTCTACAGACAGCACCAAAAAGCAAAGTATAGAAGGATTTGAGGGACGAGGGGGAAGGATTTGGAGCTGAGTGAGAATAACTAATAGTTGGTATGGTATCCTCTATCTGGTACCAGCTGGTACCGGTACATTCCCTTTTTCACGTGGATTAGGCATGCACAGCTTCATTAGCTAGTTTTTCTATGTCTTGTCCCCTCCAGTCCATTCTTTATACCACCAGAGTATGTGCTCTAAAATGAAAACTTTATTGTTATTCCTCAGCTTAGAATCTATCCACTGCTTCTCATTATTCTCAGTATAAAATGTAAAACCCTTAATATGACCTTATGCCTGTATACATCTCTAGCCTCATTTCTTAGTTCACTACCTTCACTCCCACTTCCCTACAAGGCAGTTCCCAGCACTTCTGACCTTTAGGTTGTCAAATACACAGTGCTCTATATGGCCTTTGAATCTTTGCCTGAAAGTCTCTTAAACTGTAATACTTTTTTCTTCCCCTATTTCACTTGATTAATTATTTTTCCTCATTCACCATCCTGGTGTTCATTCCTTTGGAAATCTGCCTTTGACACCCCTTCTACAATCTCTTGTTAATCTGTAAATGTACCCATTATTATTGAATTTATCAAAAAACATTATAATTGCAAAGTAAGAAAGACAAATACCATATGATTTCACTCATTTGTGGAATTTAAGAAACAAAACAGATGAACATATGGGAGGAGGAAGAAAGAAAGAGAGAGGGAAACAAACCATAAGAGACTTTTAATGATAAAGAACAAACTGAGGAGTGATGGAGGTGGGTGGGGGATGGACTAGATGGGTGATGGGGATTAAGGAGGGCACTTGTTATGATGAGCACTGGGTATTATATGTAAGTGATGAATCACTGAATTCTCCTGAAACCAATGTTTTATTGTATGTTAACTAACTAGAATTGAAATAAATTTTTAAAAATATGGTAATTTCTTATTTGTCTCCCTACTGCTTTCTTCCAGTCCATGACAGCAGGGATTATCTGATTGTTCACTATTGTATCACCAGTGCTTAGCACATGTGTAGATATTCAAATGTTTATTGAATGAATTATCTCAAATACAATTTCCTCATTCTTTTTCTTTCTCCCATAACTGTCCATAGTATGGTATGACTTTGAATTATATACATCTATCTATCTATCTATACACATACACACACGCACACACACACACACACACATTTTTATTTGTTTTATGTTTCAGGTTTTTATTTAAATTCTAATAACATATAGTGTAATATTGGTTTTAGAAGTAGAATTCAGTGATTTATCACTTATTTATAATGCACAGGGTTCATCACAGCAAGTGCATTCCTTAATAGCCTTCACCCATTTAGCCCATCCCACACCCACTTCCCCTCCAGCAACCCTTAGTTTGTTCTCTATAGTTAATAGTCTCTTATGGTTTGTTTCCCTCTCTTTTCTTTCTTTTTCTAAAAGATTTTATTCATTTATTTGAGAGAGAGAGAACATGGAGGGCGAGGGTCAAAGGGAGAAGCAGACTCCTTGCTGATCAGGGAGCTCAATATGGGACTTGATCCTGGGACTCTAGTTATCTTGACCTGAGCCAAAGGCGGTCAACCAACTGAGCCACCCAGGCACCCGTTTTTTTCTTCTTCCTTCCCCTATGTTCACCTGTTTTGTTTCTTAAATTCCACGTGTGAGTGAAATCATACAGTATTTTTCTTATATTTATTGAAAAATATGATTTTTCAATATTATGTTTTCATGATAGCTGAATCCAGTAGAACATAGGTATCAGCTATTTATGTAAAGGGACAACTTACAGTAAATATTTTTGGCTCTGTGGACTGTGTACCGTCTTTGTTGCTGCTGCTTCTCCTCTTCTTACCTGTAGAATTCTTTAAAAATGTAAAAACTATTTTAGCTTGTGAACCATACAGAATATGCCATGGGCCAGATTTGGCCTACAGGCTATATGTTGTCAGCTCCTGCAATAAAACATGCAATTTGAGTTCTTTAGATTTTGTTGAAATGAGCTGAGCCAACATTGTCATTAATTGCTTATTATAATCTGGTGATATTACAACTGACATTTTAGACATTGGAAATTGAAGCAAAAAGAGGTTAGATGACTTACATAAGATCCTATACTCTGTTAGTAGACCCCAGATGTATTACTCTTTGAATCATATGTGTTTTAAATTGGTCCTAAAATATACTTTCTTTGTAAATAATCTGGGGAAAGTAGGGTGAAAGGAACTAAAAGTTTTAGTTATTGTAATTGTCAGAAACATGATTGACATTTTTCAGATCCTGACATAAAGGCAATATCCTCAGAATTAGGTCCACTGGATAATTGTGTAGAATATTGGATTGAGTTAAAGCACGTTGGAATAAATATGTATAATGCTTTCCCAAGGAGTGAGAAAACGTCGTCAAGCTCATCCAGGCTATAGCCTTATGGGAACTGACCTTATCTCCAAAGCAAACTGTTTATTCAAATCATTTAAATGTGATAAGAAGCTTGTAGTAATTGTTCTCTGGTTCTAAATAGTAATCCGCAGATTCTTCACCATGAAAGAAGTCCCAGATGTACTCAATTTATCTCCTCTCTCTGGGATATTTTTTCATTTGATTTATTAGAGAAGAATAGAATTGTGTTTTAGGGTTGTTTGATTTATTTTACTCTTTAAGTATTAGAGAATGCCAGGATCTGGTAAACCTGAGTTTGTTTGCTCTTTTTTTTTTTTTTTTAAAGATTTATTTATTTTGGAGACAGAGTGTAAGCAGGGGGAGGGGCAGAGGGAGAGAGAAGCAGACTCCCTGCTGAGTGAGGAGCCCAAATGAGGTCTCAATCCCATGCCCCTGAGATAATGATCTGAGTGGAAATCAAGAATCCGATGCTTAAATGACTGAGCCATCCAGCTGCCCCAATCTGAGCTTTTTAAATAGAAGATCAATGGAATTAGAACTATGAACTCCAGGGGTGTCTGGGTTACTCAGATGGTTAAGCCTCTGCCTTCAGCTTGGGTCATGATCTCAGGGTTCTGGGATCAAGCCCCACATCAGGCTCTCTGTTCATCAGGGAGCCTGCTTCCCCCTCTCTGCCTACTTGTGATCTTTTTCTCTCCGTGTCAAATAAATAAATAAAATCTTTAAAAAAAAAAAAAAAAAGAATTATGAACTCCAGTAGCTCATTTACCTAGCAGAATTGGAAGCCAGGGCTTTAGTTCAGCACTTGGAATTATAAATTGGTTCTTGAAATGAGGGCTGACCATGTTTCTTTATCTTGATTATTTATTGAACAGGTAAACTAGATAGAAATGAATGATAAGGTCTTTCATAAGTAGCTTTTATCCTAGTTGGAAATGATCACCACATACATACAAAAAAGACTTAATATTTTATATTTATCCTCATATTCTGTCCTCTGCTTGAGGCTCTTGATCAAGGCAAAGCCCTTTAAACTCAATCAGGACCAGGTCCAAATCCTTAAATTGCACTATTCTTACAAGGTCTTTGTCTTCTAAACAAGTCAGATAATGTTGGAGCATTCCTGTTAGTGAGTCATGCTGACCATATATAGTTTCTGTTTATTTCTTGTTGTAACTTTTTATCTTCCCACTCTTCCTTCCTTATACCTGTTGAATGACTACTGTGAATGCAGGACTCAAAAATGAATAGGGTTTTAAAAAAAAAGTTAACAGGCTTTTGTGGTAGAGTATTTTTGTGATTTGAGAAACTTCTATTATCTCAGTATTGACAGTAGACTATATATCCAAAGATCAATTTTTTTTAAAGATTTTATTTATTTATTTGACAGAGAGATCACAAGTAGGCAGAGAGACAGGCAGAGAGAGAAGGAAGCAGACTCCCTGCTAAGCAGAGAGCTGGATGTGGGGCTTGATCCCAGGACCCTGAAATCATGAACTGAGCCAAAGGCAGAGGCTTAACCCACTGAGCCACTCGGGTGCCCCAAAGATCAATTTTTTATCTTGATAGAAAAAAATCCAAATTTTTACTTTTGGTAGGTATATCATCTGTGGGTTTATTTATTTATTTGACAGAGAGAGAGACAGAGTGAGAGGGAACACAAGCCAGGGGTGGGGGGGAGTGGGGGAGGGAGAAGCAGGCTTCCTGCTGAGTAGGGAACCTGGTGCTGGGCTTAATCCCAGGACCCTGGGATCATGACCCAAGCCAAAGGCAGATGCTTAATCACTGAGCCACCCAGGTGCCCCTCTGTGGTGGTTTTAAAACATAATTGATGAATTCTTTGGTATTCCTCCCTTCAAAAGGTGTCCTTGAACATGGACAGTACTTAGGGACTTGCTGCTAATAAACAGAATGTGGCAAAAATGGCAGTGTGGCACTTTTTGAGTCTAGGTCATAAAAAAGCATTGTGGCTTCATCCTTTCTGTTTCTCTTGGCTCATTTGTATTACTCCCTTGAGTATCACATATTAAGAGGCTCTTTTGAGATGTCTTTATGGCCTTTAGCCAAAAACTATGTGCCTGAACCAATTTAGAAGCAGATCCTCCAGCCATAGTCAAGCCCTCAGATGATTGCAGCCCCAACCAAACTCTTGACTACAACCTCATGAGAGACCTTAAGCCAGAACCAGCCATTCAAGCCAGTACTGAACTCCTGACCCATAGAAATTGTGAGATTATATATGTGTGTTGTTTTAAGCCACCAGATTTTGGAGGTAATTTGTTTTGCAGTAATAGATAACTGATATACCATCATGTAATATTTTATAGTAAATTTGATAAACTTTTTATCTGTCTTATAAGATTGTCTTACAGACCAACATTGTTTAGTTCTCCTAATTTGTACTTTTTTTTGTCGCTGCTATTTCTTGGATTGTCTTGGACTGAGAGAGATGTGTTAAAGTCATTATTAGCTTTTTCCATTTCTCTAATCTTCAATAGTTACTACTTTATAAAAGTTGTTGCTATATTATTTATTGCACAGATATTCATGAGTCTTATATCTTCATAGTGAATTATAGCTTTTTGCATTATAAAGGGTCATTCTTTGTCTCATTTAATACCTTTTTGCTTGAATATTACCTTGCTTGATACTGCCCTTTTTAAAATTTTCATTTGCCCAATACATCTTTGTTCATTCTTTTATTTTAGGCTCTCCTATATACAGTCCAGAGTTGGATTTCATTTTGTGAGTGAGCCTGAAAATCTTTTAATAAGTGATTTTATGACCACTTAATATGTATATATTTATAGAACTGCTATGTTTGATCTCAATTATGTCACCTTTATATATCCAAAACAATGCATAGTTTTCCAGTAACTATGTGTTCAGTTTTCTTTGCTCTTTGTTGCTTTATTTGTATTTTTCTTTGTGTGTGTGTGTGTATTTTAATGATTACAGAAATTTCTATTTTTGTTTTAAATTCCCTTTATAACAATACTCACATAATACCTTGGTCCTCTTTTTCTTTATACATGACTGTTAGTTTCCTACTCAGAGCAGTACACTGCCTCCTGTCTCTTTTCTTCTGTACCCTCTACCATTCAATTTTAGTCAACAGTATTCTTTTTTTTTTTTAAAGATTTTATTTATTTATTTGAAACAGAGAGAGAGAGATCACAAGTATGCAGAGAGGCAGGCATAGAGAAAGAGGAGAAAGCAGGCTCCCCGCTGAGCAGAGAGCCCGATGTGGGCCTCGATCCTAGGACCCTGAGATCATGACCTGAGCTGAAGGCAGAGGCTTAACCCACTGAGCCACCCAGGCACCCTAGTCAACAGTATTCTTTTTCTTAATGTTAGTTCTTGTCCTGAATGTTTTGGATTACAATCTGTTGTCTTTAAATGACTCCTTTAACTCTCACTTTTTACCTGTTAGTGAGCTGTTCCACCTGTTTCTCTCTCCCCACTTCACATTTTTTTTTTAGTTATTACTACACTGTCAGAGCATAGAAAATTTATATGCTATTCCTGCTCCCACTTTTGTTTTAGTCTTAGGTGTATAGCTAGGTGTATTCAGTGTACACCACCAGTATCTTTGGTGAAGTTTTCTAGGTCCTCTCTTAGTTGGGTATAGTTTGTCTTCAGGAAGAACTCGTGAGTACAATAATCCCAGGTGTTTATTATCATACTGAAAAATTGCTACTTGCAGGATGGTTTTTCTGCCTTTAGCATTCTCTTCCCTTGATTATATTATAGATGTTGTTTTACTATTTTCTAACTTTGAAAATAGCTGGGAACTCTGATGCCAAACTGATTTGTTATCCTTAGAAAGTGACTTGATCTTTTTGCCAGCACAGGTAATTTTTTTCCTTTGTATTACAGTGTAATTTTCTAGGATAAATCTAAGTGTTGACTACTATGGTGAGTCCTGTGAATTGTGTAAGACTGACGATTCACAGACCTGTACCCCTGAAGCAAATAATACATTAACATGTTAATAAAAAAGTGAAATAAAATAAAAATTAAAAAAAAATCTAAGTGTTGACTAATCTGGGTCTGTTTAACTTAATACATCATGTGCTCTTTCAGTATGAAGATTAATGTCTTCTTTCCCTCCACCCTTATGAAAGAATTATTATTGAATTATAGTTGTAAATATTAATTCTACTTTATTATTTTGATTGTCTTCTTTAATGCATCCAGAAGTATGTACATTGGATGTTTGGTGTCTGATTTTTATATTATTTCCTTCTCAATTGTTTTAATCTATGTTTCTTAACTTTTCTTATTTTCATCCCCTATGTCCTATATGATATGTTTGATCCTAGCTATTCTTTGTTGTTTTAGGTTGCATTCTCTGTGACACAGACTCTGAGACAGAGAATTGTGTGCATGAGGTTTATTAGCAATTACCCTTGGGATCAACACTTATGATGATGTGAAGGAAGGAGGATTGGATAGAAGGAGATGCTGAGCTGTAATTAGTGTGTGCTGCTAAATTTTTAATAACCAATTCTCAGAGGAATAAAAAGCTCTGATTTGTAACATTTTCCAGCATATAAGTACTTCCATCATGGCCAATTTTAAGCTATAAATATGACATCCACTGAACATGGATCTGGAAAGAAATGCATAGTAACACCCATACAAAAACAACAGATGTTACCTCAAGGGCATAGATAATAATAAATGTAGTAAAATAATTAGGAAGTGATGAGTATTTGTTGCCTTGGTTTTGAATAGAATTTAATTTTGAGTTTAAAGAATTTAAGTTCTTGTAGTAGCTGTGTTTACTTGCAAAATTTTTTTTAAAGATTTATTCATTTATGAGAGAGAGAGGGAGAGAGAGCACAAGCAGGGAGAGGGACAGCAGGAGAGGGAGAGAGAGAAAATCTCAAACAGACTTCCCACTGAGCATAAAGCCTGACACAGGGCTCATCCCCATAACCCTGAGATCATGATCTGAGCCAAACCACGAGTTGAAAGCTTAACTAAGTCACCCTGCTTGCAAAATTTTTAAAAATGTTAGCAGTTGGCTCTCATGGACCTGTAAGAACCAGCTCCGGTATACCATCGGCCACGGTCAGTCACAACAGGTCTCAGCTCATCCCATGAGGAGTTTTGAAGTTGGGATGGCCCTTCAGAATGGTCTCACCTTGCTTTGGGGGCACAACCACGGAAGAGGTCTTTGGAGTCCCCACCCCCACACCCCTGCCAGAGCTGTCATGTTCCCTCCTCTTTCACTTCCTGTTGTAAACAATAAAGGCCCTTCCTACCCTTAAAAAAAAAAATAAATAAAAAGTTGCCCCACCTTGAGGTAAGGCCCTCAGATATCTTGGCATGAACAAGTCATTGGATACAGATAGACATTGGGAAGAGGATTTGACCTTGGGTAAAGGAATTTTTTTTGGCCAAAGACAATTCCCAGAGAAGGACTCAGCCACCAGCTTTCTAGCAACCTGGATTATGAGTGCCTCAGTACTGAAGAGGGTATATGGAGAGGATTCTACAGGACCCAGTATACTTACATATCTTGTAGTTTAGTCTTGGTTTCTGCTTCGAGACATAATTTTTTCTGGTATGCTTTCATCTGTTGAAACTGTGATTGTGTGTGCATGTTTTCTTATATTAATTTTGTGTGGATACTGAATTTTTGTTATTGTTAGTCATCCTTGAATATGCTGGATTTTTCTGAATCAGCTTTTAACATATCTTTCAAGGGAAAATGGACAGGGTTTCAAGGGCCTCCCTGTTTGTTTTTGGTTGGTTTTTTTTTTTTGTTTTTTTTTTTTTCAGCTCAAGGGCTCCCTCTTCTGTTGCTATGGTGAAAACAGTTTTCTTAAGTACTTTTTTTTTTTTGGTGGTCAGATTTCTGATTCTCCTGTTTGTTTTTTCAGTGGGGTACTTATTACCAGTTACTTCTTTTCTTTCTTCCATTTACCACTGGCTGCTGTCTTCAAGGAACAATGACTACTTTCAAAAGTAGTCTCTTTCTCTTTCTCCTGAAAGTCACACTTAACCAAGAATATACCCATGTTCCTCCTGAATTTTCCAAACCCGTATGTTTTTACTCCTGTTACCAGTACCGATCTGCCAGGTTTCACACCGCTCTCAGCTGTTCCCACTAATGGCTAGGAACTTTGGTAGCAAACCCTTGTTGATATTATCAGGTTCTACCAACACTAAGACTACATATTCTCTACCCTTTTCAAGCAGATTCTATGACCTTGATACACTTGGGGGGTTCTGGATGGTCTCTACTTTATCTTTCCCAACATGCATTTAAATTACAGACTGTGGAGGGGGGTAGCCTGAGAAGTTCAAGTCTGTTAAGTGTCTGCCTTCAGCTAAGGTCATGACCTTAGGGTCCTGGCATCCACCCCATGTCTGGCTCTCTGCTCAGTGGGGTGTCTGCTTTTCCCTCTCACTCTCTATGCTCTCTCTTTCTGTCTCTCTCAAATAAAATCTTAAAAAAATAAATTAGAGACTGTAGGATTTTCTCCCCACATTTTAGTATCGGTTGTAGGAATTTTCATTGCTTTCTTTTTTTCCTATGTGTAGTTTTTAGGAAGAGCTATGGGAAGAGGTATATACATACATACAAAGGTATGTATTTGTTTTTAATACCCACAAATAATATTTTGCTTTAAATAGCCTTGTTTTTCTCTTCTAACTTAATATTATGTGTTTAAAATCTATCTCTGTGTCTTGTTTATACCTAGTTTGTTGCTTTTAGTTGCTACATTTCTTCCACAGTCTGCATCCACCATCTTTTATGTAACTGTTCCCCTGGTTAAAATGCCTGCATTGTTTTTACCTCCCTATTACTATCTTGAAAAAAGCTGGATGAACTTTTGAATATGTTCCCATGATAATCCACATGACACTTTCTTCTAGGACATATACCCAAGAGATGGGATCTTGGGATTCCAAGGCACATACACTCTTCATTAAATATTTTCAGGTTGCTTCCCAGAAGGGCTAAGACAGCTTACACGTCCAAATCCTATGGACAAGAGGTCAGTCTTCCGACACATTTTGTCAAGATTTGGTACTCTAATTAAATTTTGCCATGCCAGCAAATAATCCATCAAGTTTTGGCCTTAAGTTTCAGTTTGTGTTATTTTGTTTTAATTTCAGGTTTATTGAGATACAATTGAGGAATAAGTTACAAAGATATTTTCCTACATTTTCTTCCATTAGTTTGATAGTTTTATTTTTTTTATTAATCTCTTTAACCCACCTGAAGTTCTCCTTTGTATTCAGTGTTAAGGTAGGGATCTAACCTAATTTTTCTTCATATATCAACATAATTTCTAACCAGTCTGTCTTTCCTCATGAAGATAGCTTTGCCACATTTGTGATGCTACCTTTAACGTATGTCAAGTTCTGTATATGATGGGTCTATTTGTGGGCTTTCTTTTTGTTCCATTTGTTGATTTGTCCTTGTGTCTCTATCTTTCTGCTGTTGTTGTTGTTTTTTTTTTTAATCTCTGTAGTGTGCCAGCTCTTAATAGTTGTAGTTTATTCCCTTTTTCATTTTCTTCTTTCAAAATTGATTCATCTTTTCATGAGCTACTATTCCATATACATTTTAGAATGAGTTTCTCGAGTTTCTAAAAAAAGTTCCTGCTAACATTTTAAAATGAGATTTGAACGTATAGATTAATTTTTGAAGAACTGACATCTTTACTAAGCTAAGTTGTCTTATCTAAGAACATGCTTTATCTGTTTTTTCAGATCTTCTTTTATGTCTTATTAGAGTTTAAAATTTTTCGGGGTAAAGATGTTATGCCATATTTGTAAATTAATTGTTAAATCTTATAGTTTTTGGTGGTAGTGTGAATGGGATTTCTTCTGGTTCATTATTGCTAATACAGAGAATTAATGTTCCTGTTTTTCTGAAGACATTATATAAATGTGTAACCTTATCAAGTGCTTTATATTGCAACTCTTGGAAAGACTATGTGATTTTTGTCCTTTAATCCATAAGTATAGTCAGTAACATTGATAGTTTTCTCTTGTGAAACCATGAACACCTTGGCTGTTGAATTCAGTTGGATAATATTTCTTTGCATCTATTTTTTAAAATCTGTTTTCATCAGTGACGTAGATTATGATTCTCTCTTCTTGTACTATCTGATTTGGAATAAATCATTAGGCAGCTTTTTCTCTTTTCCTGTTTTCTAATAATTTAATTGATAAAGGGATTATCTGTCCCTTGAAAGGTTGGTAAAACTCACTGTAAAACTGCATAAGCCTAAGGCTTTTTTTCTGGGGAAAGGTCTTTAATTGCTATTCAATTTATTTATAGATATTTGGTCTGTTCGTATTTTAATTTCTTCTGCCAATTTTGGAATTTTATAATTTTCCAAAAATCATTTATTTCATCTAAGTTATTTAGTGTATTAGCTTGTAATCAACCATTATATTCTTTTCTTCTTTTTAAAAAGATTTTATTTATTTATTTGAGAGAGAGAGCAAGAGCATGGAGAGGGGCAGAGGGAGAAAGAGAAGCAGGCTCCCCACTGAGCAGGGAGCCTGATATGGGGCGCTATCCCAAGACCCCAAGATCATGACCTGAGCTGAAGGCAAATGCTTAACCAACTGAGCCACCCAGGCATCCTGTCATACTCTTTTCTATCTCTGTTGTATCTGTAGCTAGTTCTCATGATTTCATTATGTGATTTGATTATTTGAATCTTCTTTTTTCTAATTAGCTCATTAGAGAATTATCCATCTTATTCATCTTTATAAGATGACAAAAATCATTCCCAATATAGCTGAAATTACAATAAATATTAATCAGTTAACTCCATCAATGAGAAGGCAGAAACTCAGGATGCATCTCAGACTAGATTTCAAAATTCAGGTCTACGAATATATTATCTATAAGAGACACACTTAAAAGGAAAAACTGTGGACAAGTTAAGAGAGATTTAAGTAGGTATTCCAGGCTGATATGAACAGAAATACCAAAAACAAACAAAATGAAACACGGAAATAAAAACAGGTAACTATATTATATAAGCTAAATTGAAGCTACAAATTCAAGGCAAAAAGTATCATCACAAGCAAAGCATAAGAGGGCTAGTGCTATCAGGAGCTCAGCTAAGTGGAAATACCAAGTGGATAGTTGTGTATATAGGACTAATATTCAGGGGCAAAGTTTGGAGAAAAGCGGATGCTGAGATATGTATTTGGAATCATCAGCATATATATGGTATTTAAAGCCATAAGACTGAGTGAGACCATCAAGGGAGTACAGACGGGACAAGAGATCCAAGAAGTAAACTCTGAATTCCTCTAACATTTTTGGGCAGGGAGATGAAAAAGAACCAGCAAAAAAGATGTAGAGGTGGCCAGAAAGTTAGGAGGCAAACCAGGAGAGTATAATGTCCTGGAACCCATGTGAAACAATTATTTCAAAGAAACAGAGTGATCAGTAGTTTCAAATGTTAGCTGATATACAAAACTGAACATTGGATTTAACAGTATGGAGATTGTTGGTGACCTTGCCAGGACCAAGTTTGATGATGGAGTAGTAACAAAGACCTGATTAGAGTAGGTTCAGGAGAGGAGAGAAATTAGAGACTAGTTAGTTAACATCATTTTTAAAAGGAATTTTG